CCCCAAAACCCCAAAACCCCAAAACCCCAAGGAGTTACTATGAACTTGAAAATTGTAATTATTTGTAACTTAGTTGAAATCCTTTCTTTTCCCAAGGCTTGTACTTCTTGTGTGTTGTATTTAGCATTATTTCTGTACCCAGTCTCTTACTTCTGAATTCATCTCAATATGTAATTATTTCATTGTACAGTTGCATTGATTCTGCAGACTCAGGCTTCTTCACAATTTTGGGGTTCTTCTTCGGCTTTTTGGTTTTTATAGGCTTAACATTATTTTGGAGGAATCTTGATTGCTTCTTCAGTCATCAGCCTAACAGTCTTGATCACATAATTATCATTCAACGATTCAAGAATTCGCTTCGCATGGACTGCATGCACTAGATTAAGCTCAATATCTCTAATAGTATGATTTCACTCACACAATTCACACAACTTCTGTACAACTTTATCATCATCAATAATACTCTCACACCTAAACTCATACAAATTCACCTCCTTAAGCCCCTCAAACAGCTCTCAAAGCTCTTCACTAGCATCAATCCTAGTAATTTCCTTGGCTATCTTCCCTCTATGATTTCTTTGGTATATATCCGGATTGGTTATTCTATACTGAGTCCACCCATAGTAATTCATACTGAGGAAATACGTATGAATGTAAATGGATACCACCCCATTTTGAGGAATATCCGACAGAGATTTTATGATTGGAGCCAGATGGAGTTTGCAAACTTTATCAGCTCCTAAAATATCTGATTCATCAGGCTCAACAAAGGCATTGAGAATGTAATGAGGTCTGCTTCAGGAGAGTATTGTTTTGTATGTTACCATTGAAAATTTGATCATACGTCTCCAACTATGAAAATCTTCTTGCATAGGAACATCTTCTTGAGGCATCAGAATTTTATCATTCGTTGATAATTTTAGACACCATCTACCCTCAACACCATGCGAAAGTTTTGCAATATGCATATAATCTTTGCAGATCTTGATATTTTTGAAACTCAGGACACTTGGAGCTTTCATTAATATTATAACTTGATGCTCGGGGTCATATCAGAATTCATCAGTCATGAGCTTCAATTCTAAATCTGAGACTGTGAAGATCTTAATACTTGACCCCACTGAATTCTGATAAGCTATTTCTCCTTTCTGGCATTTATAATCGAGAGAAATCCTATCATGATCGACCTCTGATTCAAAAGTGAAATTTTTGATTTTTGATAAATTCTGATAATCTTCATTTTCTTGGAAGAAATTTTGTGAGGCAATGAATTCGAAAAAGTGAGAGTATTGAGTGGAGAAACTCTCTAAAATTAGAATTTTCTTTGAAAACTCTTCAAGAGCTTGGAAAACAATCTCAACTTTTTCAGACTCCATTTCTATTTCGTCATATTCATGCTTTTTACTAAGTTCAAGCGTTTTTCAAGATTCATTTTTGAATTGATATTCGGACACTTCAGATGAAGGAGAGGTCAGAGCTTCAGGAGTAATAGATATACTTTTGAAATTGGTTAGGAAATGTGACATTGGACTTTTAGGATCATAAACATATAGTTTTTCAATTGCTTGTTTATTGGGCAAGCGGTTTGACCGATATATATCATTTGTGTAAGATCCAATCTTCTTCTCTCAAGGATCGTAGTAGTGATATTTCAGGTAGAACCCTTGAGAGTTAAACCCTTTATTTACTGATTTCTTAGAATTTAATACTATTGCCTTCTTATCAAATCCTTTCTCAACATATTTTTGAAGAAAGCAGTGACCAATTTGTTGGGCTCATTCTTCCATTGTGATTAAGACTTCTTCGAATTGATATTTCAGCATGACTTCTTCCATTTGGTCCATTAACTTGATCATGGCTTTGAATGACTCTTCAGAGCCAAGTTTGACCTTGAGAGCGAAGTACAAGTAATTCTTGCCTTGCTGAAGCTTCTTTGAAATAGTTTGAGTGAAAGTTTTGTGGATCTCTTTGACAAGAGTTCACTGTCTGTAATCCATGATGACTTCGAGTATGGCCTTGAGATTGCCAAGCCAGACTGCTCTGGTCTTGGAATCGAGCTGCAGCATAAGTTCTGCTCATTCGTTGACATAGCCAAAGTATGGAACAATCAAGCTCATGAGAGACAGCTTATGAGTTATGCCAATGGGTTTCTTTTCCAGGAGAGTTTCCATTATTAATTATCCAGATTAAGCCAACTCTAAATATTCTTCAAAAGCAATTAGTAAAATTGGGGTTTTGGGGTTTTGGGGTTTTGGGGG